TTGCAACCGATGCTCCTCATAATTGAGACTGCATGCTTAATCTCAAGAAATGTTACCAGGTGCTATCCGGTCTGCTTGCAACCGATGCTCGTTATAATTAAGACTGCATGCTTGATTTCAAGAATTGTTAATTATTCAGCAAAACAATCGCAAGTATCTTCCTTTGACGATGACATATCATACATCCAACTCGTCAACATCGTGGGGGCGGATCGGAAAATATTTCGTCATCATTGAACTGGAAAGAACTTATACAGAGCTCGATGGGACTGTTCATATCCGAACATCTTTACTGACAAACCTGAGCAATGAATTTCATGAAGAACTACTGACTTTATATCGCAAGAGTTATGCTAATTGGATCATATTTCATTAAACAGTAGTGAGGTCACAAGAAGCTAACGATGAAGATTATACAGTTGAAACAGCAAATAAGGTTTGCCATTTTATGTTCGCTGCGATATTATATATTTTTATAATAGTAGTAGACATAAGATAGAGTATGCCTACGTTTTTCTATTCTTGGATTTATTTTCTGTCTGGTCTCAACAGCTGGGCGTTTATAATGTGACGGTCAATCCCACTATTCGTTGGTAAAAGAGTAGCCCAAGAGTTGGCGGTGGGTGGTGATGACTAGCTGCCTTCCTTCTAGTCTTTCACTGCTAAATTAGGGACGGCTAGTGAAGAAAGCCCTCGTGTAGCTTTGCGCGAAATTCAAATCAAACAAACAAACCCTCCTATATAAAGATTATTATAGTCTGTACATTCTACGCTACCTCTTTAATAATTAAAGTTTGTTTAATTATGTTTTTTAGAAATGCATTCAACCCTTTTCTATGGTAGAATAATAATAAATTTACACACAACGGAAAGTTTATATATTCTGTCCTATTTTTTTGCCATATTCATTTTATCTAAGCTGAAAAGCCAGACACATACGGAACAACAAAGTAATCATGTAAATTTTTTTTTTTTTTTTGAAGCTGTTGTTGTTGATTTCCATAGTGTAAAGCTACACAATGGGCTTTCTGCACTTTGTCCAACACGGGTAATCGAATCACGGTAATTAAGTATATTTTAACAAATCTACTAGGATAATCATTCCTTTTTACCAATAAAGTTTCCATATGCTTTATTTCATCACTTGGCTCTTATTTTGAATTGCCAACAACTTTATATTTATTGTGTGATGTTATTTTTCCTGTCACATTCTAACTCTTTATGATTCTTAATAAATTTAGGCAAACATCAGAATGCGCTGCCATCTGTGAGGTGGATGTTGCCTCACTTCTATTAGCGTTTCCTGTTTCAGTTTTGATTTTGATTTTGTGCTAAACTTGAAGTATTTTGTAAGATGGCACATACATTTGTATAACTTTATCTTTCAATAAAAATGTCAGTGTGTACCAACCAATACAATTTCATCAGAATATATATATATATATATTCTTACAATATCCCTAGAAACACGTTTGTTCATGAAGCATATCTTAATACGCTCGGAAAACGTGCCATTTTTACAATTTTGATTTATATTAAAAATTAACGTTGAGTGAGTAAGCAATCATGCAAAATGCCATTGAATTAAAATAAATAAAGAAGAAAATGTTCTTTAAACTGAAGGAATGCACTTAAAAAGGTATTTTAATTATTTGAACAGGTATAACGTGCTGTTCTATAGACCACCACTTGGCGCTAATTTTTCTTCGTGGTAATTTCATACTTGCATTTCCTTGCCTGGAAATTGAATCCGAGGCTTCTTGTACAACAGGTGAGTGCCAGTATTCCACGTTTTGAATAATTGATAGATGGAAACAAAACCGAACAAGATGACTGCATTAATTCTGAGCTTGTTAAGAAAAAAAATGGGAAGTTTAAAGAACGATAAGGCTCCTGGGCCAGTTAAAATTTCCCCAAGGTTTTCAAGGAGGTTAAGGATTAGATATGTGAGCTACTTGCTACTGCTTTTTGTAAGTCCTTGAATAGTGGGCAGATACCAAAGAATTAGAAATTAGCTAATGTCACTCCTCTTTTCAAGGCAGGTGATAAAAACTGCCCAAGAATTATCGGCCCATTAGTCTTACATCAGTTGTAGGAAAAGTTTTGGAAAGTCTGATAAAAGATGTTTTGCAAAGCCATTTAAGAAAGTTTGGAATCTATTGGATAATCAGTTTTGTTTCACTAAGGGAAAATCCTGCCTTACAACTCTTTTGACATTCTTTAAAAAGGTTATTGCGTATGTAGATGAGGGTAAGGGTGTATATTTGGTGTATCTAGATTTTCAGAAAGCATTTGACAAGGTGCCGCATAAAAGGCTTGTAAAAATATCTCTATAGGTGTGGGGGGTAAGTTAGCAAATTGGATAGAAGAGTGACTGGATGGAAGAAAGTAGAGGGTTGTTACAAATGGAGTTCAGTCAAACTGGATTAATGTTACAAGTGGGGTACCTCAGGGCTCAGTCTTAGCACTTTTGCTCTTTTTTATTTACCTAAATGACATAGATGATGGAATGGTCAATAAATTACTTAAATTTGCAGATGATATTAAGGTCTTGGATGTTGCTAGCTGTGAACAGAATGCTAATGATTTACAAAAGGATTTAGTTCATTTAGTGAGTTGGGCAAATAAATGGCAGATAGGTTTTAATTATAATAAATGCAAAATAATGCATATGAGTTATCATAATTTGAATTATAAGTATAATTTGGATGGGAGTAACCTTAACAGTATTATGAAGGAAAGGGATCTTGATGTAATAGTTGATCAGTTTCTTAAGCCATCCAAGCAGTGTGCTGTTGCTAATAGTAAGGCAAATAGGATTTAGGTTGTATCGACAGAAATATCAGTGAGAATAGTAGGCCTAGGGAACACAAATATAAATTTCAGCAGGGTAGGAGTCATCTTCAGCTAAGACAGTTTTATTTTTTCTACCCGGGTGGTTGGCATTTGGAATGAGTTGCCTTCAGGTGTTGTGGAGGCACTAAATTTAAGAGAAAGCTTGATAAATATATGAATGACAATGGCTGGCTTTAAGATTTTTTTTTAAATGTATTTATTAATAGTTTTAGTTTAGTTTAGAGGATGAAACAGCCGAGATCGACCAATAGGTCCCATGTTGTCCCAAAACATTATGTTATGTTATAAGTTGAGCTAAAGGGCTAACCAGCTAGCAGTTGCTATTAAGACACTTTTTTCAATACTTCAAGCTATCACAATTTGCTCAGCAGTACGTCTGTAGATCTATAACGCTAAAAATTGGGTTTCCATGCTTGTGGTTGTCACAGCACAGCTAACCCATTGTTTAGCTTTGTGTTTAACAACAAACAAATAATCACAGTTTCACGGTAAATAAACAATTTTCGTGCCAGTCGTGTGTAGTCCAATGCTTCTGTGCTCAGTTTAGTAACATTGAACCGAATTGATTTAGCTAAAAAAAAAGATTGCCAAAAAATAATAAACATTAATGATAGACATTAATCCTGAAGTAATTAATCATGAGTAAAAATTAAATTTTAAAAAAGTCACAGAGTTCTAAACCAACGACAGATTTTTGGCAATGCTTTTTAGATACTATCCGAAATTACATGAGACTTCGAGCAAAATTTGATAGCCCCACCTGCCGTTGGACAATTTCAACGCTACTGAACGCTTCATTTGTATTTTTATATTTGTATGCTATTTGCAAATGTTCTTTCGGAGTATAAGACCTTGAACAGATTTTCTCAAAGCTAACTGGCGCTTGCATATGTTTTTTTCTATTACTCTAGTTTTCAGTTTCTCAGCACCGATGACATTTGTTGTTTTTATTCGTATATCAGTAAAACCTACCAAGTGCATGTTGCCATGTCACATAAATGTAGTTGACATGTAATCTGTTTATGAAACGACGGACTTTTGTTTGATAAATAAATAGCAGATGGATACGAACGTTTTTTGCTCTTTTCGGTTTTTAACCACTTGGGTAGAAAAAAATAAAACATCCCTAATAGTCCACTAGTATTTTGACGAGTCATTCGTATTTAACGTTGGTGATGAATGGATTAGATCGTTGATATATACTGATGGCGTTTTATTTTTATCTATTTATTAAATATTCTTACTTTCACATGTATTGTAGTCTCAAACATGTAAAGACGGGTGTGGTCTAGTAGTTTGCATATTAGACTATGAATTGGAGAGTTCATAGTTCGAGACCTATGCCGCTAAAGCGTGCTTTGCATTTCAGGACAGTGAGTGACGATCAGATTCAACTGTATGGTCAGACAAAAGTAATATAAGAGTGCGGAGAGTGCTGTTAACTAGCCTACCAGTTCAAAAAGAAGGACCATAATTTGCAAATAGCCCTTTGTGTAGCCTTTCTGTTCAAGATCATTTAAAGAACTTACAGAATCAGAGTAAAGCAGAGTGTATAACAATATGTCAGACACGTTATCTGCTATATCAAGTGCCGACAAGGCCTTTTCGCCCAATACCAGAGTTCCTCAGAGCCATTAGCTACACTTTTTTCACTAACAGACCGATGTGTTTGTCAATCAAAATATGGTCATTTAGCTTCGTAAAGATAGTTCAAGATTATACATTTACGAAATTAGTGTTTCCCGTGAAGGTCCACATTATTTTGATAGCAGTACAAGAATAAAGAGAACAATATATATTGTTTGTTTATAACACACTTTACTTAAAAATGGCTCTGGGTAAAAATGTGCGCTATATTTTACTTATGAGCTACAAGAAGAAATGAGACGTTATATTTTGAGAATACATTTATAAACTAGTTTGATCATTTAAACCATCATTTTCTATTATTGTAAATATGTTGTAGATGATTTTATCATTTGACTGTAAGTTGCAAGAAAAATTAATTTAAAAACTTTGACTGCTTCTTTGTATATAATTTTTACCCTATATTTTATTCGGAAAATTTACATTTGTGTATCGTATGTCGCGCCCTCTGCCAGTACTTTTTTGTGACGTCATGAATTGACTATATCTTATGTGGGTGTATTTGGCGTATTTATGTTTGTATGTTTAAAAAAATTATATTATAAGAGTCAAACTCGATTTTCAGCTGTTGAAAAGAGTACGACCGTTACTTTCTATTTCAAGATATTGGTATGACATGAAAAGGTATCTTTATGGATTCTCTACATTCAGAAACTAAAACCTAATTGATGTTTTACTAAATTTTATAGACTAAGACAATTATTATTTTCAAATTTATTAATTCATAATGTTAATAATTATAATGATACTTATATAGTACTCAGTAGTACTTGTAATAGTATTACCACTACTGCACTAGGTACGAATAACCCAGTGTAAATAAACTACTACTAGTAGTCTAGTATTACTATTAGTAATACTGTATATTAGTATTAAGTAAGTGTGAAGTGTAATGCTGTTACTACTGCTAGAACTACTATTAGTATATTACCTTACTTTTTGTCAAATCACTAGGGTACTGACAACACTATCCACTAAGTTCCACTTCCAGTTTAGATTAAAAGAAACTTCTCAAAGATTTTCAACACAATATGTTTGTAAATTTTATCAAATCTTATGCATATGGATATGAAACATTGAAGAGGCTCCAGATCATTAAATTGTTAAGTACTAAGTCTTGTGGGGAAGACTTTGTACTTGGTCATTTAATATTGTTCTAAACTTTATGTTCTAACCATTAATATGAAAACAGCAATATGGTAATACTTGTGGCAGTATTCAGGCCTTGTATATTTAATTTCTAAATAAATTTTATTAAAACTTGCATTGCAGTATATGAAAATGCATTGCAGGTAATCAGTTCGGGTACCCATAAAGATTTGATATAAACATTTTATTGAAAACCTCGGAGTCAGAGTAATTTTTGAAATAAAGAAATGATATGTAAGTGCTTTAGTGAATTGGCATAAAGTAACCAATTTTATTAATGTAAAATAATATGAATTATCATCATAAGTAAATTTGTTAATCTTATTTAAAAATTTGAAATAAAAAATTAGTACTATGGTTAATGATATAAAAAAAATTGTACATGAAATATTTCAATTGTATGGTATCTTAAAATCGAGTAAAATCTCATAATTTAGGTGCTTTTATGGGTGGAAGCTGCAAAACTATGCTTCTTTGTCAATAATCTTCATATTTAACTTTTGTTTTTGAAAATGTAAAGTCATCATTGCTTGAACTATATAACATTCTAACAGTACAAGATCATGTAATTAAATTGTCATCACTTTGAAAGTGCTATCACAAACCCGAAGAATTAATTATTTCTGGTATAAAGTCTGTAATACATTGAAAGGAAGGTATTTACTCCCAACATGATTCCAGTCATAATGCAAGGTAGTCAAACAGTGATGTACTTATGAAATTTACCGTGTAGCAATTTTCTTAACTGCAAATAAAAGTGAAATGCATGCCCTCTGGTGTTAGGGTATTATGTAAATAATAATATATTAATTATACATAATGTTTGAATGGAACACAATGTGAAACTTATAATACTTGTAGGCTAGCTGAAAAAGTAATTTATAATTAAGTGTGATACCTGTAGAAATTAAATCTTGAAATGAAAACATTTTTGATTGAGTATCTAATAAGTATTTAGGTATTTAGTAAGTATTCAGATATTTAATATAACAGTCTACTGGTACTATAGCATACATTGCCACATATTCTGTGTATTTTCCCACTGATAAATTTCAAAGAGTACGTTATATCATTAGGTAAGTACTTCATGACAATTGTACAGAATGGTGCTGCAAAAATAAACTTGGCTTGGAGAAACTCTAGCTTAACAACAGTCCTAAAGATAAGACTGAAAGCATGATATTAACATTATTTTATTGTGGTGTAAACCCATGTCACGTGTCTTACAATCTTTTTTAAGTCTAAACTCATAGCAGTTATAGCTCATAATACTCAACAGTGGATAATTTACTGTATAGTCTTTCATCAAAACTCTAATTAATCCTATTCATACCAGTTGCATCAGTTTAATGTATATTGTTATGTGTACATATAAATAGTATTTCTTTAAAATTGAAGTACTTTCAGTTGAAGTTAATTTTTAAATCTTGCTGTATTCTCACTCCTATATTGTATATTGCCAAGCAGCTACATATATTGTGCTTTTGACTAGCAAGTAAAACTAACAAACTACTTTCCTTATTTATCTGATACTGGAAAACTTGTTAAGCTTCTTGACAATTGTGTGAGTTCCAAAAGCATCTATTATGGTTGCATGTCTTGTGATTTCAATAGAAAACTTACTATTTAAAATAACAGGCAAAAAAGACCATATTTTGAACTTCTTATTATAACCAAGTAAATGTTTTCATACATTGTTTCAATAAATTTATTACAAAGACTGATATTATCTGTGTACGGAGTCAGAACTTCTAACGGATGTTGGTTGTTCTAATGATCTACAGCAACACCTTAATATATCCTACAAGATATTTTTTGATAAGTCTTGATGTGAGCCAATAAACCATCCTTAAGGCTAACAGTAAAGGACTTTTACTTGTTGATCTCAGTCACAAATCTGTTTACCAGTTTCTGTTGTGCTCTAAATTAGATCTAATAGAATTGCTTATCTTTTACAACATATCATAAAATCTTCTCATTAATTTCATATCAAGTTTCATTATCAAACTTTTAACTTGTATCTTCTCATATGTGTATGTATGTTTGTGTGTATTTCTACACATTCAAACTTGTGTATGGTTATATTATCGTCATACAAGTTAAAGTAATCAATTTTATGTCAAATTATATACCTGCTTGATGTTTACATTGTATTAAAATAATATACATGTATTGCAGTTTTGTCAGTCAGTAGTTGAATTATAGATAAGGATAAAATATTCTAAAATATTAAACATCAGAGCACATCTCTATGTTACATTCATAGAAAACTAAATTAGGACAAAAATAACAAAAAATAAATGGAATATTAAAGAAGCATATGAAAAACAACAACAACTTCAGTTATATGTTGCAAGTCTTTTAATACTGATGAACACAGTTTAAATACACCAATTCACATGTACATTTAAAATCAAGCTCCGACAATCTTCATTTTTTAAACATGAGTATAGCCTAATCATTGCAAATATGTCTGAAACATTTTGATGTATGTAAAATCTTTTGATTACTAATGTCTGAAAACAAATATAGTACTTATTTCAAGGGCATGTAAAGCACCATATGAACATTGGTAATTTTCTCTTGACCACTCTGAAAATTTTAAGAGTACATCTACTATGTTAGAGTTTATTTTTCTAAGCATCTTCACATTACCTTATGCCATAGAAATCACTGTTTCCCAACTTGTTTGTAACAGTGTCATATAAATACATTTATTTGTTAACAGTTATGTGCATGGCCTGTGTATTAAGTTATTAAAACAATGATCAATAGAACATAAACTTAGATTTAACAAATTATCTTGAGAAGGATAAATTTTAAGAGATGCAATCACATTGCTGGAGGTGTCTCATGAGTGTCAAATTTCACTCTACTCTCATGTTTTGCAAATATAAAATGATATAAGAAAAGTTATAATTGCAGTAATTAAAAACCATTCTGTCTCTTCCTTTTTTTTTTCTTTTGTTAAGCATCGAAATATTGTAAAGGCTACCTTTTGACCTTATATTAAGTAGAGTAATGCAAAACAGTTTTATATCTTTACTACTGTAAAGTCTTCGTTGTACTTTTACAAGGGATAATTGGAACAGATGCTAAGAATCTTGGACCTGAAGTTAGGATTTGAATATAAGTGCCAGTCTTAATAGCAAAAGGAAAAGATAGGTGGTGGACTGCCCTTCTGAAAAATCTTGTCAGTGTGGTAAATTGTCAAGGAGTGTGGCCTAATGGCACAGCTTAAACATAGTCATAAGTTAACAAATATACAGTAGGTACTGTTATATATATAACTGTTTCAACTTGTACCTAAATATAGGAACTTATGTTTTCTTAAACACACATATGACTGAAATATAAAAATCTGTCTATTTTGATAATGTAGTAGGGGACATAAGCTGATACTTAATCTCTACATTTCTATTTTGTTTGTTAGCCTACAATTTTTATACAGTCTTTTTTTGTGATTGTATGTGAGAATATGGTTTTTATTTTTAAAATGTTATTTTAGAAATTAACTTTAACTTTGAATTTCTTACTTTTTACTCCAACACTTCCATCTAGAGTTGGGCAATATAATCAATTACCTTTGAGCAGCAAATACATTGATTAGAATCATGAAAATAATCAACTAATTAAAATTAAGGTTTCTGATGATTACTGTTTTTAATTATATTAACAATGGATTAATTGATATTATTATTAAACCAATCGTCACCAAAATAATCAGCTAATTGAAATTAGGGTTTCTGATTATTCCAAGTATCTAAGTAATCAGATCTTGCTATTATCTTTGTTTGTTGGTAAGCATAAAACTACATAATGAGCTATCTTTGCTATGCCTAATTTTAGTCTCATGAGTTGTTTTCCAACTAGTTTGTTTAGCTTTGGTGATTAGGGGGGGGGGGGGTCTTGGATTTGGTTTACATTGCCGCCAGATTGTTTCTTTTTCATGGCAAAGTTGCTGAGGCTGTCTTCAACTGTCACAAATTTTGAACAACCAATTAGAGGTAAAGTAACTGGCTGGCAGCACCTGCTACCAACTTTTTATTCTTATTTGTACATGCCATGGTATGAAAAACACTGTACTATCCAATTAACACTAGTTGCCAAGATGTATGACAGTCTTTATGGTACTATATTTATATTAACGTAATAGTTTCAAAATATACATTGATTAATTAGAGTTGTCACTTAGTACCTGTGTGTCACATTCTTGACACTTATACAGAGTCAATGTAAAGAAGAATTTATAGTAGGCTAAAAGTATTGAGAAAAAACAACTCAATAATGCTGTAATTTTGTTTTTGATTTTTTTAGAGCTGATATTCTTAATTTCTTTCATTTCTTAAAATCAAGGCATTTAACAAAAATAAAATTCCTTTTAGGTGTGAGTGACTTAGGTAATAAATATGGGATGAAAAAGCAGTCTCTCTCTTCTTTCTTTCTTTTTTTTTACTAAATTAAAAGCTATGGTAATTAAGAATATTTTTGAACAACTTGCTTTTAAGAGTTCACAACAATATAATTTCTATTGTTTATTTTCTCATTACAGTGTTAAGATGTTTCAAAGTTTACCTATTATATCTACGAAGGAAATGGGCATAACATTCCACTCCGTTATCTAAGAATGAGCACCAACACTGTTCCAAATGATTGTTTTTCCAAATACTTCAGAACATGTTCTTCGAGATGACAATGAAGGTTCATTTATGTACTGGGATAACCTTTGCTGTTATTTTTAGTACTCTTACTTCAATTTCAGGTACACATTTTGAACATTGTTACTTAAGATTCTAATAGCAAAACATTGTTTAAAGCTTTACAGATTATTTGTTTAGTGCAAAAGCTAGCCACTTAGTAGTAACTATCATATTATTCAATAGTATTTTAATTATTATGGTAAAAAAAAACTCTCAGTAGTTCTTAATATTTTTTTACACTAGTTAGGATTATTTTAGGTATGGTCATAGGTTATTCTTCCTCTAGCTTAAGTTTCAAGGTTCTTAGTGGATTGGAATAGGAGATTTCTTGTTTATTAAATACCACAAAATTTTAAGTGAAGGAACTTTGCAATATTTTTTGTTTCGTTGAAATAATTATTTGAAAATAAAGAAATTAACATTGAATAAGGTGTAGATCACTTCTTAGTTAAAGCTGCTAGTTATCTCAATTTTTCAAATGGAGTTAAGTGTTTTTTTAATTCTTGGAAAGTCAGGATGTTTAGGAGTTTTATTTATCTAACTTAAAATGTATTTTGTACATACTTGAACTCCTACAACTTGAAGTATTTACTAGCTATGATTTTGCAGATGGACAATACCTAGGGTAATTTATTTATGAGTGGAACTGTCATTTTGTTTTTATTGTTTTTACAAAATTGACTTGAAATATAGTTCTCAAACTTTTTTTCTCATGTGGGGTAAACTTGTGTATGGAAGCGCATTATGCTAATGTAATAATAAATTGATAAACAATGATTTATAAGCACAATGAAGTGGTTTTATTCATGGGGAACATACTACATGTTTTGTCAGAACACTGACCTGTCTTCTACTGAAGATGACACACCAATGTTCTGTCAAAATATGTAGTATGTTCCCCATGAATAAAACCACTTTATTATGCTTATAAATCATTGTTTATCAACTTACTATCTTGTGGGGTAAGGTTTGGCAGGTTTGGTACAGGACTAAATGCTTGCAAGTTGCCTTAAGAGTGAAACCACATATAGATAGATGGGTGTGTTTATTTTGTATCAGTGGAGTTGCAGTAAAATATGTACTATGTATGTAAGTTTCTGTGTTTTAGAAATTTTTGTTTCATATGTTTCCACTATAGCCACTTGAACCAGATAGGCTATTGAGGTTTGATAAGTTGAAACATGTAATTCTCAACTATTCGTACAGTATGTACATTAATAAAATGTTTAAAGATAAGTAATTCACATGTAAACTTGTTTATGAAAAATTTACAAAACTAGGCATCTTATTTAGTCATAGTGTTAATATAAATAGTGGTAAAATACTATCAATTTGATGGACATATAGTACTTTATTTGTTGTTATAAATAAGTGTATAGATAGAGTATACAACTATCCTTGATAGATGATTCTATTAATACTTTTTTATTCAGTTA